TGGAAGGGGAAATTCCATGCAGTGAAATCCCAATGGAATTTCAGGGATTGTGTGGATGGATTCCCATTGTGCTGTGCTCCTTGGGATGCAGGGAATGGGAGCAGGAGCAGAGAATCCCGCTGGGAACAGGCTCTGGGATTGCTCTCTGTTCCTGCAGGAGGTTGGAAATGCAGAGTGAGGGGTCCAGGGAAGCTCCCACCCTTTAGGAGCCGTGGGTCTGGATGGTTGGGACTGACTGGGAGATCCCTAAAGCCAGGTTTTGGAATTTGTGGATTATTGCAAAGGGCCTGGGTGAAAGGGCCCAGCTCGGAGGGCAAAAGGAAAAAAGTGAAGAGAGAGCAAAGGGTGAGGGGTGAGAAGTAAGAGAGTAAAGGTAAGAGCAGCAGAGAGGTGAGAGGTTCCCACTACAATACAATCAATCTCCTCCTGTGCTGAATATTCCAATTTCCACTCACCAATCTAATACAGGATACAAATCCCATAGCGTTTACACACAGCCTGTAAGAATCACTGCATTACCAGACTGTGTGACACTTTTAACCCTAAAAACAACTCTTTGGACCCCCTCTGGTCTCCTCTGACCCTTGGGCCTGTCTGCAAGCAGAGGGGATTGTTCAATCCAGAGGGGATTATTTTCAGTTGGCCAAACTATTGTTTTCTAGTTGTTCAGTAACTAAAGTTTGGTATCTCAAAGATGCCTTTAATTTCATTTCAATCTCGCTTATAGTTTCCATATTCTCAAAATCTTTTGCCAGGCAATCATATTGATAAAGTTTTCCAGTTTCATCTTCCCCAGCACCACCCCGCTGGGGTTTTCCTGATCTCAGCATCTCTCCTGGATCCCTCCCACCCTTTGCACACTCTGCTGTGGTTTGGGGAATTCACAGCTCCAAACTCAGCAAGCACTGGAGGAGCTGAGCAATGCTGTGCTCTGAATTACAGCAGGATTTATCCCTGAATTCCATTTTAGGGATTTTTATTTAACCCAGGTGTGACAAAAAGCCACAGAGGCCAGAAACCCATGCCACGAGTCCAGATTCCCTCAGCCCAGCTGGAAAACTGCTCCATTCCCACCCTTCCACCACCCTTTCCTCAAACCCCTCCAAGCCCAGCAGGTGATGGATGGCAGGATGAAGGAGTGCTGACAAGAATTAATGTGGATTTTTTTTTTTTTTTTTTAAATTTTTGGTCAGAGCTCCACGCTGACTGCAGCAGAGCACACGAGGTGGCTTGGGATGTGTCACCCAAAACCAAACTGAGGATCCATCAAATCTCTGACATTCCCCTTCCATTTGATGCCTCAGAGCAAAGGGAAGCAATGAAAATACACCTGGCCTGGACAGGTAAAAACACCTTCCCAGCCCTGGAGAGGGCAGCTGGCAGCCTCAGGAAAGGGATTTGCTGCCTTTGATCTTTGCATGTGAAGGCAGAGACTTCATGAAATTATCCAGCCCTTGGGAAAAAAAAAAAAAATCCTGCTACTGTTTGAAAAAGAAGGAGGAGAAGCTCCTATTTGCATTCCAAAAAAAAAAACCCAAAAAAAACCCCCAAAAACAAACCAAACTTTGGAGATACCTGTTAGGCCATGAAAACATCACTGTGGTGTTTTGGAAGGACAAAATTCCTGAAAATCGCATTTTTCCTGATCTCTGAACCGTAATCATGGAATCACAGAGTGGTTTGGGTTGGAGGGACCTGCCAGATCACCCAGTGCCACCCCTGCCGTGACAGGGACACCTTCCACTGTCCCAGGCTGCTCCAAACCCCATCCAACCTGTCCTGGGACACATCCAGGGCTCCAGGGACAGCCACAGCTTCTCTGGGAAACCCCTGATGGGACCTAACCACACCCCAATCATGGAATTTCTTCCTAAATTCTCTTTAAGATACAAACCCCCCCTAGGAAATTCCCCCGTTGGTGTCCTGCCCCCATCCCACATTTGCCCACCGACCTCACCTTTCTGCACTAACCTTTGCTGCCGCTTTGGACAAATTTATTTCTCTCCT